ACAGCCTTAATGTTTGAAGTAGCAGTGTATAAAATTCACACCCAGTTATAGACTGAGTAATTATGGTTGCTATGGTAATGGGCTCTGTGCCTATGAGCAAAAAAAAAAAATAATTCCTTTTGTGCAAGATATTTATGACTGTGCCTGGCTACATAGCAAGAGTATTTTCCTTTGGTTTTTCATTACAGTAATTTATGCATTTAGGCAGATGATCATATATATATATGTGTGTGTGTATATATATGTGTATATATATATATATATATATATATACATATACATATATTCTATAAATTCTTAGGAAGAAATAAAATAAATTTATTAAATTTTCACATCAAACATTTCTAATATGATTATAATATGGATTTAATTTTCAAGTAAAAATAATCCTTAAAGGATTTAATTTCAAATAAGAACTACAGTAAAAAAAAAAAAAAAGATTCCATGATGAGTTAATTTTCACTGTATGAAATGTATAGTATACATATTCCAACTCCTTTAACAAGAATTTCTGGTATGCCTTAAAGGGCCATAGGTGGTTAGAGAGAGATCCCAAGACAACAGTTCAAAATTACCAGTTTAAAAAGCAACAATCAAGATACATATGCTCCCAAGTGAATTTGAATTGATGGAAGACTAAGTTACCAGATCATTTTTATATCTAGATGTGCTGAAACAATGGACACTGAGAAGAGAGAACAGACAAAACTTGGCAACAGATCTTGTGGTGAGATAAATATCCCAAGAGTATTGAATAAAAGCCTGGAGAGAGAGGCGAAGGGTTGTAGGTGTGCTGGTTCTGACAGCTGCTCTTTCACCCTATGCCTTTAAAACAAAGGGAAGAAAGGAGGTAGAAGTGGGGTATGGAGAGTTATTTCTGGCTTTCCCTCCCTGTTTCTCTTTGTTAATGTATACACGTACATTAACCTGTATACACGTTAATGTAAAAATGTAAATAAAGTAAACATGTCTATTTTTGGTTGCTGATGACATAAAGTTCACCTCTATTCCTTGGAAGCACTATTCCATGTTGTGAGCTAAAGGGGATTGCACTGATCTTGAAGATAATAAATCTGTTTGTTTCAAAGCTTTCACCAATTTATAGCTGTGTTTCCAACAAATTTCCACATATGGTATAATATTTAATTTGTAAAATAAATCCATAAAGCAGGAATTATTAACCTAATTTTGCAGATGAGAAAACTGAGGTTTCAACTTGTTGAAGGTCAAAGTCATAAGGTCCATCACGCTGTAGCTCAATGAATGAGTCTCTCATTTTTACTTTTTCAATTCATGTACAAGATAATGTTACAATCTACTGTTTTTGTTGGTTGTATGAATTTCAATACATTTACTGTTAGAAATAACAAAAAGCCTTAGACTGCCAGATCCTGTTCAGATCAACTCTACTTAATTCATAATACAGATGAACTCTATTATAAGTTTAATAACGATGCGGATATTAGCCAGAGGTATGATGTTGCTGATCCTCACTAATGAACACAAAATGAGAATTCACCTCTTCTTTTCATTTGAATTTATTTCTACTAAAAGATACGGATTATTTTTCTTGATTTCTATCCAGGCCCCTTCTGAAGGGACCTGGTTAACTCTAAATTGCTACTAAATCTTGAGTCTTCCTGTATTGAGCAATAAAAGGTACTGCTAATTATAATAACAATTATGAGGAAAATTTTATTTAAATGCTTCATGGAAAGTTAATTTTCATTCAATAGAAAATAAATAAATAAATCTGCTTCAGACTGTTTGATTTCTCTATTAAGTGATTGACCCTAACTGGTATATGGTGATTTTGAATATTAAAAAAGAAGTTACAATTTTCCAGAATATTAAAGTTTATTATTTTGAAAGCAAGTAAAATTCTCCAGTAATAAGATTAATAAAACAATTCCTTAAAATTGTCATCAGATAATCCCATGCTTTCAAATGTGTCTGCTCAAAGTTGTCACTCTACCAGCAGCAAAGCTTTGTTTTACTTGATCAAGAATTGAATGTGACTTTATGATCTGTATTCAACCATGAACAGCTGCTCATTAATAAAAAGCTATTAAAGTCCAAGTCAGAACAGCAGGTCTAAAATTGTGTTTGAGGAAAAAAATCCCACCCTTTGGTGAAAAGCCAGGGAAATGGGTTGGGAAAGATCTCGAACTAGAGGGCTGTGTTTGCAGTCTGCTCCTACCTCCTGGGCCAGGTCAGGTGACAAGGCTGGAGTTAGCCCCAGCTGGAGAACTCAGAACAAAGCCTATGTAGGCTTTGAAAGGGGAGAGTAAGTGGTGGGCTGGAGGCTGACTGTGTGAATAAATCAAGCTGGTGATTGGGCAGAGGCTGATCAGAAGCTTTCAAGTGGGCAAAATGGTTTGGACACAGGGCAGGCAGAATTAACTCTATTCCACTGAGTAAAAAGTTTATACACCAGGTTCTATCCCTTATATTCCTCTTATTTGACATTTGGTGGTTCCCCACCCCCACCCCACACAAACTTTGGGCAGAGGACAGGACTTAAAGTTGCTTGTTCCCCAAATTATTGACTTGTGATCCCAGTCATAGGCTTACTATTTAACAAGTAGAGATAATTTTAAATTATTCTTTTATAGGTAATTCTAAAGTAAATTTTAAGTTTGCAGTCTTTAGTGAGCTTTGTTTTCTGTTTTGCTATTGTGTTGGGAAACAAGTACTCAGTAACTAGCTGTTTCTGGAAAATTATGTACCTTTCGTTTTGTTTCATTTGGAAATGGCAAATTTAAGAAAGAAAGCTGAAGAATAAAGAAAAAGAAGAAAATATCCTGGGGCATAAATCATTTAAAGCAAACATGTAACTCTTTAAGCAAAAAAAATTCCAAACATGTTTATATCCAAATATAGGTTATTGGATTTGTTTCTGTTTTTATTTTATTTATTTATTTATTTTTGTTTGTTTTTTGAGACAGGTGTTGTTCTGTCTCCCAAGCTGAAAGTGCAGTGGCCCAGTCACTGCTCACTGTAGCCTTGACCTCTTGGGCTCAAGAAATCCCTCCCACCTCATCCTTCTGAGTAGCTGGGACTACAGGCACGCGCCAAAAAACCTGGCTAATTTTTAAATTACTTGTAGAAACGGAGTTTCGCCCCGTTGCCTAGGCTGGTCTTAAACTCTTGGGCTCAAGTGTTCCTCGTGCCTCGGCCTCCCAAAGTGCTGGTATTACAGGCCTGTGCTACCGTGCCCATCTAGAGAATTGGATTTTTTTAATCCAAAAAATTTTAGAAATTTTAGATTGGAATTTGAGGATTAGAATTCTAGAGATTAAAGTTACAGCAGGTGTTTAAGGGACTGCCAGGGGCTGCATGGCCTTTGGGAAATGAAAGTACCGGAAATGATACTGTAGTAGCGCAATAGCAGTAGTGCAGTAGTAGTAGTAGCTGAGGTAACAACTATTATCTATGAATGTTTGCCATATGCCAGGCTCTGTGCTAAGAGAGCTTTGCAAGCATTACTATCCCACGAAGTAGGCACTATTATGGCCATTGTACTGATGAGGAAATTGAGGTGAAGAGATTAAATAATTTTATCCAATTTTACACAGAACTATTCCAGAGCACGAGTCATAAACACATCCTTCCCTTATTGGAAATTAAATTATTAATAAAAATGTGTTGCAAAATGAAATGAGGACGGTGGTGGTAGGTTATCACAAAGTTAAGTGCGTAGAGGGTTGCTGGGTCAGTGTGGGAGAACAAAGGCAATTGTAGCAAAAAAAAAAAAAATTAAAGGCATATAAAGAAAAAGGCTGGTTGAGGAACAATTTGCATAAACTGATTTTAGCCTTAGACCATATTCACTTCCCTCTCGCCACTTTGCAACTGTGGCGCATAGTATTCTGAGAGTCCCTTGCACATAATAACTGAGGACTCGATCCTTTTCATAGCATACAAGATAAAAAGAAGAATCAGGCTGCAAAGAGAGAAGCACCGAAGGAAAGAACATCTCAGGTTGAAAGAAGGGCAAATCCAAGGTGCGCGTGAGGAACAAATGCATGGACACGGTGAAGTGCCACTTCTTAATATCTAAACAAAATTCAATTAAAAATTACTAGGAGGAGGCTACGTCCTGAATGAAACTCATTATTCCGCATCTCTGAGGTGGCAAAATACCTGAGGGGAGGAGGTCTGTCTAGCCACGTCCAAATCTTCCCGAGACAGAGGGACATCCCTCATTTGTTGCAAAGTAAAGTTTTTTCCTTGGTTGCATCTGACAGAGGGGTTCTGTGGGCTGAAAAGAAAGAAGCTCGGCTGAAGGGGAGACATTCTGGAAGGAGAAAGTAGGGACGTCTGGCATAACCAGGCCCTCTGAGAAGAAACAGTCAACAGCTCGCAATGGTCCCAAAAAGCTACCCCTCACCGATCCTGGAGTGCCTGTCGCCGTTTGCCCCGCTCCCGTCGCTCATTGGTTCCCAGTCCCGACGTCCGACCCGTAGCCTCTCACCCATTGGGCCAGCCAGGACGTGGGGTGGAGTGCAGAAGTGAGGGCCTGGAGACAGCCGAGAGCCGCCTTAAAGGATGGCGAAGGGGGCGGGGATAGAGGAGGGGCTGGGGGCGGGCTTCCCGAGGAAGGGGCGGCCATGGCAGCTGCGCGGCGGCAAAGCTGGCTGCGACGGAGCTCGCGCCCGGCTTTGAATGAGCGGGGCTGGGAGTGAACGGGCGGAGCGCGAGCTCGAGGAATAGACTGGCAGCGCCCGTGAGCGCGCCTTGTGCGCGCGCGCGGCCCGCGGCAGCTCGGAGCCTCCGCCGGGCGGGCGGGGAGGGGGAGGGGCAGGTGAGTGTGTGCGGTTCGCGCGTGCCTGCGAGGGACTTTCCTTTCCCTACCCCCACCCCGACCCCAGCCCTAGCCTCTGGGGCACCTTCTGCCTTTCGCCGTGGGCTCTTCGCCTCGTCCTGTACTTCCCGCCCTCCCACCTTCCTTTTGCCCCTCCACCCGACCTCCCCAGACCCCCCACCGCTGCTCTGGCGTACTGTTTCCGGGTGAGGGTGACCTCTAGGGTGAGAAAACTGCGACTGGGAGCGGGACCCGGGCGTGCAGCCTTCGCCATGCCCCGCTCACGCGTGGGAGACCGGCCTGCGGGGTACCGGCCCGGAAAGCACCCAGCCTCCAAAGCCGCCTTGCTCAGGGAAATTTGCGCGACCTTATTGCCCTCGGTCTACAGGCCTCGTACCTCTCCAGGCCGATTTTTCCACTATTTAAATCCTAGTTCGCCTGGCATCCAGCTCCAGCAACTTAGAGCATTTCACGTCACGCCGGGCGCAAGGCGTCGGCTTGTATAATCCGAAAACGCTCCTGTTTTTCTCATCTGTGCAGTGGGTATGATGT